TTTGGTTTCCAAACCCATCCTGACACGTTAGCTTTACGAAAGCGACAAAAAGAATATTTGTGCCCACTTTTATTACAATAGTGACACGAGAGATCTGACCTACCTTTAGGTCTTTCATTGGTGTTAGTACTGGTGGACTTTGTTCTGGCTGGTCCTTTTCCAGTTGACTTGTAAGTCGCCTGGTTCGACCTGACAGAACTGTGGCTGGTGGATTTGTGCATGCCATTAAGTTGCATTTTGCAATTCCTCAAACTCTTCTTGAAGTACTTCTTTTTCAATTCACATACTTCGTGTTTGAGTTTCCAGTCTTTAACTTCTCTATTTAGTCTCTTAAGCTCATTCATCATTTTTTGAGATTCTTTCAGAGTTAAATCAAGAATATCCTGTAGTTCATTGCATCTTTCACAGTCATAAGATCTTACCTCACTTGTTTCACCTCGTGCCATGAAACAATTTTCATTATCATCCTTGCCTTCTTCGTCTGAAGTGTCCTCATCTGTCCAGCATCCTGAGGATTTGTTCATCTCATTTTCCAGAATCGTCATAAAGCAAAGATTTGCTATCTCTTCGTGCTCTGAACTATCTTCATCACTCCAGCTTCCAAAGGATTTGTTCTTGTTAAAACCTCTAGAAATCTTTCTTTTTAGTTCTGGGCACTCAGCTTGAATGTGTCCAAATCTTCCACACTCATAGCATTTTCCATCATTTTTGTCCTGTTCATTGTATTGCCTGGATCGTCTGGGTGGCATTCTTCCTTTCTTTGTATTTCTGAATCTTCTCATGAACCCATCCATGTTTCTTGATAGCATAGCAATTTCTTCTTGTAGGGCTTCAGGATCATCATTGATTTCGTTTTCAGCTATTTCATTTGAGGCTTTGAATGCAACTATCTTCTTTTTCTCTTCTTGACTAGTTTTCTTGAGATGCGTCCTTTCAAAGGCTATGAGTTCTCCTCGTAGTTCATCATATGACAATTTGTTTAGATCCTGCGATTCAAGTGTGACTACTTTGGTCTGCCAAGTGGTTGGCAGGCTTCTGAGAATTTTTCTGACTTGTTCACCACTAGTATATGACTTGCCAAATGCCTTAAGATCACTAATTATTTTGCTAAACCTGGCAAACATTTCTTCAATAGATTCTCCTTCTTCCATAGAGAAGAGTTCGTAATCATGAACCAACATACTGATATGTGTTTCCTTTACTTTGCCGGTTCCTTCGTATGTAACCTCAAGCTTGTCCCACATTTCTTTGGTTGTATCACAACTAGAGATTTTCTCATATTCTTCACCACTTATAGCATTGTGCAGCAAATTTCTTGCCTTATTGTTAACTTGTACTACTTCTATTTGCTCTTTTGTATATGAATCTATATCTTCAGGATCAACAAGTGGTGGAGTAGTAGTAGGCAGGGGATAGTTTCCCTTTTTGATGACTCTCCAAACTTTAACGTCATAGGCCTTTGTAAAGATCTCCATACGCACTTTTCAGTGAGAGAAATGTTGACCATTGAAGTATGGTGGTCTAACTTGTGAAGTTCCTTCCTGGAAGAGAGCTCCAATGATGACTTGATTTGCCATGATCTTTTCTCAGAAGCTGTTAAGCAAAGAGTAGAATATGAGCCTTGCTCTGATACCAATTGCAAGTACAAGAGGGGGGTAAATTGTATAATTTTTAAACTTAGACTCTATTAGTTGACTTATTTACCAATTAGTCAACTTGATGCAATAAAATAACAGTTGTAATGGCAGAATATAAAATACAGAAAGTAAGTGCAGAAATCTAAAGACACCGGAATTTTATACTGGTTCGGATTCAATGTGAATCCTAGTCCAGTCCCCTTGGGTTGCAAGGGAGTTCTCTTTAGTAATTGCGTTTCTTCGAGTACAATAGAAATGGTGTGATAGCTCAGTTCCTATAACACTCGTCTTCTTTTGATACAATGCCTCACCAGTGTTATACTCTCCTTTTTCTCTAACTTGTTACACAGCAGATCTCAATGAACCACAATGTTTGTTTGTAGTAGAATAAAGAGAGAATTTTGGTTTGATCAAAGTATGTTTATCTAAGACTGAAAACTGAGTATAAATACTTTGGTGAAGACTTTGAGCAGACGTAATTTCAGCAACCCAAGGGATTTGATCCTTGGAAAGAGATTGATTCTTTCCAAGATAAGATTTCTGGTCGTTGCTCTTCCTTGATGAGAGAAGATTGATTGCCTTCCTTCTTCAGTCATTGATGAAGATTTGCTCTTTAATTGTTGGTCCTTCCATAGTTGGCAGCTCTTGATCACTTCCTTTTTCCAGCCGTTGAAGACAAAGATTTGCTTCTTGATTATTGGTTTCTCCAAAGTCGGCAGATCAGCGAATCTCCTTGATTTGCTCCTAGAGTGTGTAGGCCTTGATTGACGCCTTAGTTTCAGGCTTTCACACGATTCTTTCCATCGCTTTCCACAATTTTGGCTGATTGATATCTTTCCTTAGGCATTTCTATTTCTGATTGATTTCCTGCACAAATATATTATTGACATTATTAAAATCAGATCTAACAGCTAGTCTAGTATATGTATGTAATTACGTGTTCTCTTCGCATCGACTCGATATTCTTTAGATAGCCTGCCCTTTACAAATATAGCCTTTCAGAATGTATAGAATTTCTTCGGATTGGCTATTTAAGTCAATCTTATTGACGAAGCTTGAAGCCTAAACTAGCTAGGAAGTTGCAGTATTTGAACTTCTATCCTAGTTAGATTAATTGTAGATATTTCAAGAGTTGTAATTTTACATATAGTGGCCAAGCTAGAAAACTCAATAATCCTTTACAAGTATGCTATACAAGGTGTTTAAAGTCTATGTCTATTTTTTTCCAATAAAAGTAGAAGTAATATTTTATCTTATATATGATGTAATTTTTCGACAAAAAATATTCAATTGACCATTCTTTGTCAGATATAGATTTGCCTCTGCTCGTAGGGGTGATGTTGATAAGTTTTTGCCTGCTTATTCTGTTTTCTCTTTTGAGCTGTAAATACTTCTAGTTGGCAATAAAAAATTTAATTACCAAAAGATATTAAGTAAAATGTTTAAGAAGATATATAGCGTATTTTAGACAAACACTTTTATAATCAAGATTAAATTTTTCTTTAAGGATTATGTAAAAAATTTAAAAGATAATTAATAGCACGTGGGACTAAAAGATTGATTAAATGAACTAGTCTCGAGATTCAACAAATTACTACTACCATTTAACGTATCAACAACGCGATATTTAATTTTTGCCTTCACCAACACGGTACTCCAAAGTAAAATATGAATGTATACCGAAATATTCGAGAAAATTTTACCCACTATTCTAGAAGTGTTTGAAGAAATCGATATTTGAAGAAAATTTTACTCACTATTCGTCGTGATTTTTAAAAATAGTTGTCTCAAATTATTTGTTATTTTAGAAATTCAAGACTAAATTAATTACTTTTTTCCTATATTATCCTTAATATTAATTTTTCTTGAAGACTACATATACCTCAATTATGAGTAAATATTAAATAAATAAAGATTATATCTTAAAACATAAATAAAGGTAAAAGTAAAAAAAAAAAATAAGGGGGCAAGTAAAAGAGAAATACGACAGATAATTTGAGACGAAAGGAGTATTATTAACTGGGCAACAATATGTCTCCTCCTACTTTCTTGGTTGAAGAAATTATATAAAAACAAAAGTATTTCGGTGCATGAGGTATACCCGCGTCACGTAAGGCTCAAGGGAAAGACCACAACTTAAGGGGTTATTATGCAAACTGCCTACTCCGACGGAAGAATAAATGATTAATTCTATAGATCGAACTTATGATTTATAAATCTTACAGAGACAACTTTAACACTTCCAAAGCTCTCATTCTAATAAAGAATGTATAGTTTAGAAAATTTAGATGAGAAAAAGTTGTACAAATTTGTATTGGGATTTAGTTTATGTAGATAATTTGCTTTATTTTTTAAGTTTACTTTCAATGGATGGTTATCGATTGTTATCTTTTAAATTATTTGAAAATATAAAAAAAGAAATTACTATACCTGAGTATATAGAAGTTAAATTAAAATCTTTGTATTACAGATAATAAAATATTAACATCCATATGTGACCGGAGCCTAAAATTCAACTTCTAGCGTTTAGAACAAGAAACGAAGAATCAATCAACTTTCCACCCGGTGAATTTTCTTTTTCTTTTTTTCTTTTTTCCACACGCTGAATTTGGAATGCTGCGGAGTAGTATTATATATTGGGAAATTTGAGATTTTAGTCCCTCAAATATCAACAAATTATGATTTTGGTCCTTGTGATATCTGATTAAAAATATTTAGCCTTCAATTAATTGAAATATGCCACTATTTATCAATCTATTTTTTACAATCTTCACAACTTTACAAAATTATTAATTGTTACACATAATTACGATGTCTATCGGAAACAACATCTCTGCCTTTATAGGGTAGGGGTAAGGCTGCGTACATACTACCCTCCCCAGACTCCACGCAGGGGCGGACCTAGAGCATTGACGATGGGTTCCCGGGAACCCAGTAACTCTTGCGTAGACCCTGTGTTTATATCAAAAAATTCACTAAATATTTGTAAATATCTAATTGTGAACCCAGTTATTATTGTATATTAATTTGAAATTACGGTAGAAAATCATAAGCCTCAAATCCTGGATCCGCCTCTGACTCCACGTATGAGAATAAGCTGGGTTTGTTGTTGTTGTTGTCGTCGTTACACATAATCACGATGTGTTATATTGAGTAGAGTATGTATTATTACTCCATATTTGAGGGTAATGCAGTTCTAAAAATAGTCTAATATAACATATTTCCTATATAAAAGGACCAAAAACACACATTTCTATTAATTGAAGGTTAATTGTGAGTAATCATATATAACAAGGACTGAAATTAAAATTTATTATAACTAAGGGACTAACAATGCTACTACCCCTTATATATATGGGTAGAGTCATTTGTCCTATTTGCAATCTTGCATATTATTTATTTGATACACAAAATGGACCTTTTTCTCCTCTCTTTTGCAATTACACTTGCTATTATCATAAATTTTTTGTTCAAATATTTTCTTGCTAAACCTAAAGAAAAAATCCCTTTAGCTCCAGGGACTTTTGGTTGGCCAATTATTGGAGAAACAATTCAATTCCTTATGTCACTTTACTATGGATTAGTCCATGAATTTGTTCAAAAAAGAACCAAAAAATACAATTCCAATGTCTTTAAAACTTCATTACTTGGCCAAAATGTGGCTATATTTTCAGGTCCAGCAGCTAATAAATTCATTTTTACCAATGGAAATAAACTTCTTATTGGTTATAGACCTCCTTCTGTCCAAAAATTATTCCCTTCTACATCATTTGTTCCTATAGAACATGACACAAAAAGGGCACAAAATGTCATTAGTTATTTTCTTAACTCAAAAAATGTTGAAAAACTTATTAGTACTATGGACAATATGTCACATTTTCACTTGGAAAATCATTGGAAAGGTAAACGTGAAGTGATTGTGTATGATTTAGTGAAGTTATTCACTTTCTCCCTTTCTATCAGAGCGTTTATGGGGATCGTAGATTCAGATAAAATCTTGTATTTTTACGAAAAATTCAAGATTTTTACGCGAGGTCTTTTGGCAATGGACATAAATTTTCCTGGCACAACATTTTACAAGGCAATGAAAGCTGGGATTGAATTAAGGAAAGAAATGAAGTCTATTATTGAACAAAGAAGAGAAAAATTGCAAGAAAATCCAAATATTCCAAAGGTTGATGTGTTAACACAATTGTTAGATGAACAAGATGGAGATGGAAATTACATGAGTGAAGTTGAAATAGTTGATAAAGTTTTTGGATTTATTATTGGTAGTTATGATACTACTGCTATAACTATTACTTTGACCATGAAATACCTTCAAGAGAAGCCTGAGTTCTTCAATGAAATAATGGAAGGTAATTTTTCTTCGAATTTAATTTATTATATTCGTATTATTAAGAGTTTATGTTCAAAGCACTGATAATATAAAAATATTTACACATCAGGTTATCCGATCATGTATCTAGTTATAGGTGAATCTCCGTGATTAATTGGTTAAAGATAAGTACATTGATCGTGTTAAAAATCTACGTTATTATAGTGAATATAAGTTAATTAAACCCTATTACTAGTAGTAAAGTACTTAGGGTTATAAGAATGAAGTTCTATCTAGGCCCATTCTTTAGATTGTTAATTTGTCCAACTATATGCAAGTCATCTATGGAATAACTTAAAAAAAAAACACTTTCAAAATGGCAGCCTGGTTCGGGGAAGGGCCGCACCCAAGGAGTGTGATGTAGGTACAAGCATCAGTGGCTGATTCCATGGCTCGAATCGTGACCTATAAGTCACACGGAGACAATTTTACCATTGCTCCAAGGCTCCCCGTAAAAAAAAAAAAAAAAAGAAACTTCCATTTCTACAAAATATTTTCTAATGTGACTCAAAGGGTTTGTTCTCTTTGTCATGGCAAATGAAAAGGAGATTCTTGTTGTTTTGCTGCCCTCATATATATCACACTAGTATTATTAAAATGTTATACTTAACTATTCTTTGCAAAATATTGGTAAACCTAAAATGAGACAGAGCAAAATGAGATATCAAGGCAGATGAAGCCAAGGAAAGTGCTATGTTGGGATGATATTCAGAAAATGAGGAAAACTTGGAGCTTTGTGAATGAAGTGTTAAGAAACAAACCAGTTGTTCAAGGCATTTTCAGAGAAGCCATAGAGGACATCACTTATGAAGACTTTGTCATACCAAAAGGATGGAAGGTACTCTTCGCTTCTTCTTTTTTTTTTTTTTTTTCTTTTTTTCATCTGGTACCCGGCACGCATTGAGACCTGACTAAATTTGTATTTCCCGCAAATTCCACGTTGGGTTTGTAGAACATTTAGAATATAATGTAATGAGTATAGAAGGAGCATACGTAGAACTTTTTGTAAGTGGTGTCATATTTATATAAATAAATAAAAAATAAGTATTATTTAATATCATTTTCCTACAAGTTGAAAGCTTTGATCCAATGGTTTAGTTGAATATTATTGTAAAAGGAGGTAATAAGTTCAATTTTCTTTAGTCTCAAATTTTTAACAAAAATGCCTGCTCAAATATGTTCAAAAAATAGAATGTCTAAGTCTAGTCTCAAACCTACGACCTTTACAAACAAATATGAGCTTGATCAGTGGATCAAGAAATACTCTTTGCTAGAAAGCGGTGTCATTACTATATATTGCTTCGCTTTTGCAAGAATATTAGCGTAAACATTTAGTATTTCTTGTCCGGTGAAGCGTGAACAGATAACACCGCTTCCACCGATTTGCGTCCGCGCGCCCTGAAGTATAGTACTACTAAAATGTTAAATCTCATTTCAGTAACTACTAAATATATTATTATTATTGTTATTATTTGCTTATAATTAAGAATGCTGCCAAAATTTGCAGATATATTTGAGTTTTGGAGCAACACAAAAGAACAGTGAATATTTTCCAAACCCTAACAAGTTTGATCCTTCAATATTTGAAGGAAATGGACAGCTAGTTCCTTATACATCTGTTCCTTTTGGTGGAGGACATAGAATATGTCCTGGAAAAGAATTTGCAAGATTATTGATTCTTGTTTTCCTTCATAATTTACTTAAAAAATTTAGGTGGAAAGCTAAGGTTCCTTCAGAAAAGATATTGTACCCTTTTTTCCTACTTGCCATCCCAACAGATAGATATCCCGTTACCCTTTATAATCTGTAATTTTTAATTTTTTTTAATTTTATTATTATGTGAAAGGATATTGTAACCCTAAGCTAAGTTTGAACATCTTATTATTATAATATATACTATAAAAAAACTGTGAAAAACATAGAATTACAGTGACTGAGAGTTATAAGTGACAAAGTGGTGAAAATAGCACGGGCTAGCCAGTTTTCGGACTGGTAATTGAAAAATAGCCAGCGTTTATAAAGTCATTGAAAAGTAGTCACTATTTTGCTGCAATGCGGAAAGTTCTAGCATAATATACTAGAGATTGATGCACATGTGTATGAACTTCCAAGCATATTATGCTGGACCAGTATATTATGCTGGAAATCCAATATATTATTCTGGAACTCCAGTATGTTATGCTGGAAGTTCACATTTAAAAAATTCGAACTCCAGTATATTATGCTGGAATATTTTTCGAATTTTGAACCGTGTTTTTGTTCCAATTTATCTTTGCATGAAAAGTGGCTTTCGATTACTTTTAAAACTGTGACTATTTTTCAATTACCACTTGTAAATCTGGCTATTTTTGAATTTCACCCGACAATGTGTTATCAATTTGTCCAAATGAATTCATATTAGTTTGCAGGCTTAACTTCTTTAGTCTAAACTCTAAAACAGAATATGTAAAAATTACACCAAGTAGCCACTCTAGAGGACTACTATTTAGGAATTAACTAATGTGTCTTGAAATTAAGTTTTTAGTTCAATTTTTTGGGACATATATATCCAGAATTGTCCTGAAATTAAGATTTTTTAGTTCAAATTTTCAGGGCAAAATAAATATTGGCTAATCCTTAAATAGCAACCCTAAGAATGGCTGTTTCTGTACTTCTCCCAAAGAACATTTATGCCAAGGGTTAACCATTGGGCTCTATGAATGGGCTGGATAAGCTGGGCTAATCTCCAGGCCCATTAACTAACATATTAGCAATGTAAGTATATTTCAAGGACTTAGACTGTAGAGTGCACAAACAGTTGCCATAACACATTATACTACATTGTAGTTTTAGTCCCAAACCTAAAATAAATAAGGAAATATGTTCTTTTCATAACAGTTCAAGCTTTTGATTGACCATTCAAACAATTGAACATAATATAAGACCAAGCATACGTTTTGGGTTTGCGTCTCATCGTCACCATTTTCACGTGCTTTCGTCCAAAACAGTTTGACTTTATCTAAAGATATATCTCGAAAACCTAAAATAACTAAATAAAAATATCTAGTTTTTCTATAGTTTAAACTTTTACTTGACACGAATAAATAATATTAGCAAATTTGTGTGTAAGATTCATGGGGAAAAGAAAGGTGATTTCATAAATCCAAATTATTTTTTAAAAAAAAAAAAAAATTTGTCTAAAATATGATATTGTTTCCACATATTTCCTTGCATACGATTCTCATGAGTCATGTGAATAATGGATTTGGGACACGAGATTTGATTCAGCTGGTAAAGGTGTGGGTATGTGACTTCTTGGTAACCAATAAAAGTTTTTTCTTTATTATCTTCATAATGTTTAAAGAAAATGATTTAAATTAGAAACATAATTGAAAATCATAATAAATTTTGTGGGTCAAAGGAATTTATTGCATCATATTCAAATTGTATGACAGTAACGACACTTGTAACCCTTTTAAGGGAGGGATACAACCTCACTAAAAAGACATATATATCGAGGGTGATATTGACATTAATTGTCTTTTGTTAAATATGAAATTTTAACAAAATATGTACATTCGATTACTCATAAGGAAGAAGAAACTCCTACAAGATAGGAGTGAACATCGCCACTTAAATGGGCGTTTGGACATGAGAATTGTGAAATTCCGAAAAAAGTGAAAAAAAAAATAAAAAAAAATTAAAGTTGCATTTGTACGTGAATACAAGTTGTAGCTGTTTTTGAATTTTTGTGAGATCCTTGAAGTGAAAATTGTGGGAAATAGTTTTTTGGAGTTTTTCAAATTCCGAAAAATTCTGAAATTCAACTTCAATTGAAAAATTAAAATTTTCATGGCCAAACGCTGATTCCAAAAAAAGTGAAAAAAAAAATTGAAAAAAATGATACTTTTTTTTATCACTAAACGGACCCCAAATATTTTATAAATGTCTTTCTTGCTCTGTATCGAGTCACTAAAATTATAAAGGAAAAATTACATTGTGTAGCCGTTGTAAAAAAAAAGTAGACGAAAAAATATACAAATATGTATATTTTGTATATATATATATATATATATATATATATATATATATATATATATTATATATTGTGGGTTAAAGTGTTTTTTCAATTAAAGTGACAAATTTAAGTAGGGATTATTTTATTTACAGAGTCGCCACTTGGGATCTATATTTCGTTGTTCCAAGTCACCTTTTCTTTGAATCTCTAGTCAAAGGAAGGTTTGACTCTATTTTTTATCGGTCTGCAAAAACAAAGTTCGGTTAAGGAATTCTGTTGATCGGGGAGAAGGTGTAAGGAATGCGAGTCCCTTGGTTCTAGCATGGTCACTTTATTAACTTAAACTTGGCTTGAATTAATTCTGGGTGAGCTGTGATTTATACGGATTTTCATGTGTTTTCCCTATGTCCGCTTTTACTGCTTCATTATTAGAATTATTAAAGAAAATTTTGAATGATAAGATGTCGTAACCACGCTACGCAAGCGTATCCGCAGTTATGACAAGGATTATTAGTATGTTATTACTTTTTGAAAAAAAGTTACTACACTTGAAGAATATAATTTGGAATATATATTAAAAAGTCAACCATCGCGCTACGCAAGCGAATCCGCAATTATAACTAGGTACTAATTAAATTAAAATTAATTAAAGCTAGTAGATAAGGTATGAGATTATTAAATTAATTTATGTTAAAAATCATGCTACCTAGCGAGCTCGTGAAGTTAAAGCGGGCCTACTAATTGCCTAGTGTTTAAACTAATTACTAAGAAAATGAGTTAATTAATTAGTAACAAAAATTTGATTATTATTATTATTATTATTATTATTATTATTATTATTATTATTATTATTATTATTATTATTATTATTTTCTAGCCTCGTTGTTGGGAAAAATCATGCAAATGAATGTTGGACCAACTCTATCTATTTTAATAAAATGGGTCAACTTCTTGTTAAAGGAGAAATGGGCCGGCTTATGAATTTTAGAATTGATGGGCTGCTGGAATTTATGATAGCATTGGGCCTGATCAATAAGAGAAATCTCTTTAGCCCACCATTGGGCTCATTTTGAGGCAAGGGTTTAAAGGCCCAACAACCTCTTTAAACTCCAGATCTGCAGTAATAGTCTGGTATTATGTTGAAGAGGCAGAACCACTTTATAAAATAGCCAATTTAAACTCAAGTTAATAACTAAAAAAATGAGTTGCACTTGGTAAACCAACCCCTTAAAACCTCTCACATACATTAACTAAACCTGTTTTTTTTTTTTCATGCAAATAATAACTCCTCTTTCATCAACTCAACGTCACATACAAGAAGCAAAAATCTTAAGTTTGCATATTTCGAATGCATACCTTATTAATAATTAAACAACCTTTAACGGAGTAACATAAAATATTTGTAACTTCAAATCCTCAACCAGATAGGCTAGAATACAACGTCAACTATAAATGTAATGGAAAGCACGATGTTACAACTAACTTTAACAGATTTACATTCTTAAACGAATGCAACATTCATTTTTAGGAAACTTCAAATGTGGCCATTCTTCAACAATTCAAAAATGAGTTCAAATCTTCATTAATGTGAAAGAATTTGTAATACAAGGTTAAAGAGTTACCTGGGTCGTACAACTACGAAAAAATACAGCAGTGAAATGAACAAAAACATCACCAAAAAACAGCAGCAGAAACAACCAAGAAAACCAACAAGGACGCTTGAAACTAGTAGCTAAACAACTACTTAAATTTCTCGAAAGTTTTGCACTCAAAGAAACACTCACAAAGCACACAATTTCAGCTTACTAAGGATGTTTTAGCTCCTGATTTTTACTCTCAAAGTTGTATTTTTTAGGCTGTCCAAAACTCCTTTTTTTGTGTTAGTGTGTGTCTTTTATAGGAGAAGCCCAGCCTTCATCATTGAAAAATCTACCCTCTTTTGACAGATTTTTCAACAAAATTAGCTCCAAATATTCAAAAGACTAGACTTTTTGGTTCAATTTAGTCCAAAAGTGAGTATTTTCACCAAAGTCTGCTCTAACTATTCAAAAGTCAGACTTAGGTTCAAAAGTTGTCCTAAAGTAGTATTTTCTACCAAAACAAATGACTTTTGAATTTTGTACTCCAAAGTCTTTGAACAATAAAAATAATAATAACCAAATAGGTACTATGAACTCAAGTATTCAGTTTTAACTAAATCAGTACCAATCTACTTGCTAAAAAAATAAAAATAAAAATAAAAAAAGAATATGAACTAACTAGACTTAACAATTTGGACTATTAATAAAAAAATGAAATTAGAACTTAATAACTAAAATCAAAACAAGCAAAACACATGTTAATAATGAAATAACTAGCGAAATTGATTAAGTTAAAGGATGAAGAAATCAAAAACTAGATTTAATATCATAATAAAATGAACACTAGCAGATTTTTAATTAAAACAAAAACACTAAACACCAATGGCAAAAAGAAAAAAAAATCAAGGACAGGGAGAAAGGGAATCGATTTTACCCAACTTCGAATACCGGGGCAGTGGTGGCACGGCGGCAGTAGTGGTAGCCGAGAAATTTATCGCTGGAGTTTCGGGATGGAATTGACATCAATGAGTAGGTCTTGATGAGCTCTATCCATTGATGTAGCCATTGCAAGGTGGTAATGGCCGGAGTTTCAAGAATTTGGGCAAAAAAGTGGTGGCTAGTATTTCCTAGATCTAAAATTTGTGGACTTTGAGGGTGTTTTCAAGGATTTGGTTTGGAGATAGGGAAAGAGGAAGTTGTGGAGACTACATGGTGTGAATTTGGGGGTGTTTGGAGGTGGTCCGCCACTGGTGGGCAATTTTCGACGGCAGCGGAGGGGTGGCGGCTAGGTA